TTCAAGTGTTTTCAAAAATACACGCTGGCTGAGACGCTCTTAATTCAGAAATGCGCGCTCTGTGCTGCTGGTGGTCGAGGCCTAACGGGAAGTTCAGATGCAGCCCGACATTTTCTGTAGCAGTCACTTGACTCGCTCACACCGCCCTCCCTAGGCAGAGGAGCCGACACCATGCTGGTTGTGACAGGCTTTCGTGGGACACTCACATCAACTACTGCGTGTGAGGCTCAGAACTGCGCTCGCCACGTGGCAAGTGCTGGCTACTGATGCGTTAACGGTTCCACTCGGAGTCTCTGAGTAAGCGGGTGAGGATGAGTGGGTGACTGTGGGTTACAAGGACCGTTTAGGGCAGGCTGGTCATTGTTTTAATTTTCCTGCTATGCCGGCTTAAAGCTGGCGGGGATTTTACCATACACAGAATTGTCAGAATCTTTTTCTGGTTTTAAATTGCAGATTCTTAAAAAGAATCAATCTATGGACCAGATGAGAATTTAATAACATAAAATTATACAAATTAAACTGTCTTTCTTAGGTTACAAAAATATATTTTATCAGCAATTTTTTCTTGGTTTAGCTTAAAGTAAGCAAAAAATGTCAAGAAACTTATATAATCTGATCTGACTTGAGACCTGCATATAGAATAATACGTTTGTTAAGGACTTATAAGAAATAAAAGGGCAGGAAGAGGTGCGGAAACAAGATGCAGGTACCCAGGGGTCCCTCAGCATCCCTGCAACACAACTCATTGCACACAAACACACCTCTCTGCTTGATTTCTTTACAACCTCTCATAAATTATTCCGTCTCCCATCACTCAGGCATAGTGGGCACACAGGACACAAAGCCACTCACTGAGGAGGTGAAGAAGGGCGGGCTGGTGATTCATTAGAACCCATAAAGCTTTTCTATGGAAATCAAGAATCAATGAAGCTATTGTACGAGGCCATGGCTCTGCAAGTGTGGACTAGTTATAGATTCTCTCAGAGCAACAGCACTCTCAAACAGAGGCACGGGCACCAAGCCAGGGAATTCCAGGGGACCCTTGCCCCAGGTGTAAGGGTAGTTGCCCAAACCCACCAGTTTTCTGGGTGCAGGGAGTGGCTACCAGTTTGGGGGGGGGGGGGTGCTTGGTCACATGCTCCAAGTTTGTACGGGCTGGTTTACTGGTTTGAGCTCTGACAGCTTCAAGTGAAGCCTAACACACACCACTGCCTCTATATGCACAGGCAAAAGTAACTTTCTTTGTAACAACTTAAATACTGGTTTCCAGAATTACAACTGAATATAAAGACCTTTGTCACAAAAGACAAACACGGCAGTAGAACATTTAAAGCCTGAACTACCTACCTTTAAAACATTCTGCATGTTCTCACGGCACAACTGCCACAAGTGTGCAATGCACCTCCAAGGAGTAAATGGTGTTGAACATGCGAACCTCACTGGGTCGACACAGATTTAAAAATTGTGGTGAATTATCCCAACAGAGATTACCATGGATTGTATGGCTCACGTGTGTAACTAGATAAACAACAGAAAAGCAGTGTGAGAATGCTCCCAACTGTAGGGTTTCATCAGAGAACACACAGAGCTGACAGCCTGATGCCATTAGCCACAAACACCTCAACACCCACAGGTCTCACTCGTACTCTGGTTGTTAATAGTCTGCACATTTCAATCCACCGTTCAGAAAACTGCAAGTTCCAAAGTTCTGCTTTCCAGGTTCTGGGGAGTGAATGTCAGCTCCCCGTGAAAGCCACGACGCACAAAGGCCGGCCCATGGCACCCTGGATGCCTGCTGCAGACACACCAGATGTGGAAGATGGCTTCCTGAGTCAGTCCAGTGGCCAGGCAGCTTCGGATCTCAGCATACACACCGAGACGCTTTCTCCACGACATCATCAGATGTGCGATTCTTTGGACTCTAACAACAGAAATTTTCTTTCTTTCAGGAGAGCAATCTCACTGCAAGTGCATTTTCTTTAAAATATACTATTTCATAAGGTGCTGTTGTAATACATATTTTAATTCTTAGATTAAAAGATATCTAAACTTTGTTCACATGTATATGTCTTAAGATATCATCCCTTACTCTCTAACGATGATACATAATTTGTGTTTAATCTTCAAGTTAAAAATGGATGTGATCTAAAGCCAACAGATCACATAGCACAATCTACACACATACTTCTCACTACTGAAATCACAACTGGAACTGACCCCACAGAGCTGGCCTCGGACGGCCACTCACATTCCTGCCTTCTGGTTGCAAAATTTATTCAAACTAAATAATGGGCATTTGAAACAATAGAAAAGGGGAGAAAATCAGGGCGAATAGAGAAAGATTCCAGGAAGTGGAGAGAGGAAACAGTCATGAGAGAATCCAGTTACAGCTGTGGACAGAGAGAGACGGGAGCTAGAACAACACAGAAATGAACGTCAAGGAACATCCCAAGAAGAAGCACAGCAGAGAAGACAGTCAGTCAGAAAGATAGGCAAAGTCCTCAAAGACGATTCTCTGGCAAGCAGAAATGGCCAGAAAGGGAAGCTCACAGTGGCCAGGAGCGTCCAGGGAGCGCTCTAACCGCTTATATGGTGTCACGGTCACTTAACTTACTGTTTGCTGATTCACAGCCGAGCACAGGCAGTGGACTGTCCTGCTTCTTTCTTTAAGGGGAAAGCAAATGCGTCCTGTAAGATGACATTCTTTCCACACGGCTCGCTCCGAGCCTGGCCTGCTGCCATGGCTGTTTTCCTTTCTCAAGACAGCCAGGAGGTTCTGTTTTTCACTGGGCAGTAAAAGCCACATCCGCCTATAGACGGAAAACATCCCAGTTCCAGCGTAGATGTTAGTACAGGCCGCTTAGTCAAAGCCGCTCAGATCTATTCCATAGTCCGTTCAGCCAAATCTACCCAGTCCAGTCCAGTCCAGTCTAATCCAGGCCAACCCAGAGAGGCCTGAATGTGGGGGACACTTGAGGAGTGGAGGACAGGAAGGAGGACACCTGGCCAGCCCAAGAGAGGGCAAGGACAAAGAAGACAAAGGAGCAGACAGCAGCCAGGTCCAGAAGGAAGGGCCTCACAAGCACACTCCCATTTTAGTCTTGTCAAACTGGCGAAAGCAGAAGCGCCCACGGTGGAGACACAGAAAGGACACAGGAGCTAACTTGCTTGTGGCCCAACAGACGTTTTCAATTTCGTTTTCATTATCATTTTACAGGATCCTGGCTGTCCTGGAACTACGTAGACCAGGCTGGCCTTGAACTCAGAGAGATGTGCACACCTTTGCCTCTTGAGTGCTTGGATTTAAAGCATGAGTCACCAAGGCCAGGCTTAGCAGACCATTTTCTTCTTGAGTGAGCTGCTGAGGCTCCACCAGCAACAGGCTCACATCCGAGCCCTGGACCTGGGCTGAACTCTCAGTCAGTGTCGTCCTCATTTTAGAATTAGGGGACACACATCCCCTGGGCCCTGTGCCATTCGGATCCCATTCTAACGCTCCCGGGACACAGATCTCACAGCGCACACGGCCCCCCAGTGTTAACACAAGGCAAGCCCTCCACAATGCTGGTGGAATCTGGGAGAAGCGGGGACAGGGACAAAACACATGGCCACCAGGCACATCCAGTGCCCTAAACCGCTACCCACATGGTCTCAGAGGAAAGTCAGAGGTGCAGCCTCCAGCAGGTCTACCAGGACACAGTGGCGGGCGGGCTGGCTGAGGGAGCAGCGCTGCTAGTGTGCTCCAAGGTGGAGGCCTCAGTTGTTCTGGCCTCCCCAGTTCTGAGGCACAGTTACTGCTTCAGATTTTGGTAGAGGCGATACCAAGTATTCGATAATGACTTCTCCTTTTTCCATGTGTGGCTGATCTTATTTTTAGCCTAATAATTATACCTGCAAACATCTGTTCAAGTGCTAGGCACAAATAATGCTTTTCATTCTTTAGACATTTTATGATCTCATTCATCACTCACAAACCTTTTAAGAGTTCAACAACCATAACCTGCTGCAGCATGCTAAGGTACATCCCCAAATCCTTCTGTTTAAAAAGAGTATTTTCTTACCACTGCTGAACTGAGTTGACATAAATGGTTTCTCTCTAACAAGGCAAGGTGGGGGGCACTTCTCAGACACTCAGGGCCCCTTGTGTGCCAGCAACAATATGCCTAGTTAACCCTGGTCTCCTCCAAGTGGCCCTGAGTGCCCTCAAGTGCACTCGGGAGCTCCACATCTTCTTTACTGTGAGCTTCATGCACGTTCTCAGACGCCACGATGCCCATACTAAGGCAACACATCACAGAAGCTGGCAGCATCGCTATCAGCAAGAATTTGGCTTCAGAACCCAATGATTCGTCATCCCGGCAGAACAACAACACACCACTATTTTAGTCCTTTGGCGCTATTACCACCACCACCACCACCCCCCAACTGCATAAGTATATTTAAGCAAAACTGACAAAACCAAAACATGCCATTAACATTTGCCCCCTTTTCAATAAGAAAGGGGGCTAATAGGTTACTCACCTGATTTCAAAATATTTACTTCAGGATGAATCAAGTTTCCACCTCAAGCATTCATTCACAAGGGAGAGCAGGGAGCAAGGTCTATAAACTAACTATTAAAATTCTAAATTCAGGGGGATAAATTCACTTGATGGACAGAAAAGAAAATTGGTCCCGGCACCTCTGAAGTTGCCCATTTCCCACAGGATTCCGGGTAGGGGTTTGGCTGCGTGGGCGCGGGCACCGTTGCCTGTGGGGGTCCGCCGAGAAGAAGCTTTCCTTTCTCAGGAGGCACAGCGGCAGTGTAAGGAGCACCCGACAGGCCCCCATCCCGGTCACAGCGGACACCACTGTTTATCAACAGCCCACACGGGTAAAGCTTTCTTGCTGTAAATTTAACACAAACTCCCCAAACGCTATTCTAGTAGCAGAGACTGAATCCCGGGCACAAGGCAGCACACACGGGAACCCCTCCCGGCAGCGCCCTCCAGGGCCCCTACCTTTTCAAAGGCGGCTTTTTGCTTCCCTCTTTTGCGTTTTCGGGGTCTGCGGTTCAGTCGGATCCATTTCGCCACCTGAAGTCAAAACCCAACAGTATTTCAAGAAGGCCGAGAGGTGCAGGCGTCCCTCTCACCTGGAGCACCGTGCGCTGCTGCCACCTCTGCCCGCCGCACTCACCTCTGAGCCCACTCGTCCTGCCAGCCCACTCCGTTTGCAGTCCTCGGCCTCCTGCTCCTCCCGCAGCGCCTGCAGGGAGAGCGAGTCAAGTTCACGGAGCCCAGCGCCACGAGCGCCACCTCGGCGGGCGCGGGGCGGGGCGGGGCCTGCCTTAAAGGTGTAGGCTCCCAGGTCCCCGCCGTTATTGTTCTCGGAAAGCACCCTCTGCCCGGGCCTACGCCCCCATACGCCTCTCCCGACCCATCCATCCATCCACCCCCGCCTTCCCCTGCCACACACCTCCGGGTCCGGTCTGAGGCTGTGGCTGAGGGATGGAAGAATCCTCCATCCCGTCCTAAGCCAGGGCTCCGGAGGAAGCTTCCTGCCAGCACCTCCAAGGTGGCAGGTGACCTGGGGAGTCCCCTGTGCGAGTCTCCCCGTGGACATGCATAGCACGAGGGTGGAAGGGGGGCGGTCCTGTTCCACAGTCAAGGATGGACTCGCCCCATTTTCCTCCGTCCTCCGTGCCAACTAGGCCTGAGGAAAGGCTGCGGTGCCGCCGGTACTGGCTGACTCTGACCGCCCTTTAACTTTATCGCATTTCTTTAAAGAAAGTCTGTCGGGCCCTCTTTATTGCTACTCCATCCTTCTTTCAAGATCAAAAGGTTTAGATCAAAGCCAAGATCAAACTCGGGACTTTAAATAGAAGCAACTTTGCCACGGAGTACTTTACACAAAGAGGAGCTGCTTAATGAGACGTCAGAGTGGAAAACTTTATTGTACCCTCCATTCCCAAGCACAGCCGGACCCTCATGTGGCCACTAAAGATGCCTATGTCCTAAAATAAACAACAGGCCTGCTCGAGTGGGGGATTCTTAGCAGTGTTCTTATTTCTAGAAACGCAAACCAAACCAAAAACTAACTCTAGAACGTAAGTAGATGAAGTCAGTTTTGTACCTCATTACCCAGGTACTAAAATGTGTATTCATTTGCTAAATCCGTCACAACCAAGTTTATCCTCCTTTAAGAGGAAAGCACAGAAATATTTTTTTTAAATTTATAAGCACAGAAATAGTTAACAATTTGGAAAGCCTGGAAGCACGCATACATGTAAACATATAAATTATCAACATGCATTATGCAGATCTACTTGATTTTTAAACAGAAAGAGAACGTTAAAGTGTTCAGGCTTCATGCTGCTCATAATTCAAGAATCAATATATATTCACCATGGCAGACACTGTTTTATTCAGTCATTCCCGTGGGTGTTTGCCACCTTTAGGAACACTAACACAAACTGCTCTATGCAAAGAGTTTATTAAAAGGAAGAAAGGTAACTATTATAAACTAAGTTTACACAGACATCTACGAGAACCTGTTACGGCTGGAGAGTATTTAAAGGCTTTTATTTCCTGCCTTATAATTTTATTTGATTGTAATCTCAAACACACATGTGAGCTTGCTCTCAGATCCATAGCCCCACAGAACCACTGCTGATGATGAGAGACAGATCTGGAACTCTGGTCATCCTGGCCCAGCACAGGGGGCACAAGGGCTCTGACTCCCTGAACTTCCAAGGCTGAGATCCACTCTGCATGTCTCCCGCCGTGTTCCCTTGTTTACAACCCCTTCCACAGGGAAGCCACGAGTGTCTGTCCAAAGGAAATTACAATTCCATCTCTTTGCTTTACGGAAAACACACACTGCCTGCCTCTGGCTCTTAGCTCATGTATCATATCTGAAAGATCCCTCCTCACTATCAAGTTCAAATTCTAGTATTCTCCAGTATTCACCCTGCCTATATTGGCTTCCTTCCCTCTTTGTCACTGAGACCCCATTTTTACAGCAGTTAAAATTTTCCGATCTCCAGAAAGAATATTATCTACCATTGCTACTGTGTAATCTATAAAATGCAATTACATTCTACATTTCTGACGTCTCAAGAGCCAGTGTTAAGATGCTGCAATTAAAGCCCACAGCCTACATTAGGCTCACTTAGTTTGGTACAATTTTTATGGCTACTTATTAATTTATCTTGTGGGTACATGTGTGTGGGAGCGTGAGCATGCATACACCATACCATGTGTGTACAGGTCAGAGGACAATTTGTCCAAGTCAGGTCCCCCACACACACACCTTGTGGGGTCTGGGGACAGAACTCAGGTTGTCAGCCTTGGTGGTACCCACCTTCACCCACTAAGCCATCTTACCACCCTATTACTTATTCTTATTATTAACCGATCAAATGCCGACCTCCTAAGCACACTTGGAAGGGTAACATCCTGTTGTTTTGTTCTTGATTTCTGTCTAAAAGTACTGCCCATCACACAACAAACATTCCATGTTTTAAAAGCGAATGGAACTGGATAGCTCAGTGGATAAAACCACTCGCTACCAAGCCTGACAACTTTAGTTTCATCCCCAGGAGCCATGTGGTGGAAGAAGAGAACTGACTCCCAAAGGTTTTCCTCTGACCTTCACACACACCATGGTACCTGTGCCAACACACATTCACATGCTAAATAAATAAATGTAATAAAGGTTTATTTAAAGTGAATGAAGTACATAGGGACAGAGGAACACCCGGCACACAGTTCAAGTGTGTGTGTGTGTGTCTTATGATGATTATTTCTCTAACTCCAATTTCTTTAACTGCTAGAATATCACCGTTTGTAAGAAGCACAAAATTATACATTTGAATTTTCTAAAAAGGAACACAGTTCTAAAATGATGTAAAAAACAAAAACAGAAAATGAAAGGTCCCTGTAACCAGTAATTCAAATTACAGCTCAGAATGGTGTTGGGGGGCTAAAGTCAGAATGAAATGTAACACTAGAAAAATTAGTGTTTTTATTGTTCAACACAACCTGAGCGCATTTCTCTTCTGTTTACTTAAATCCCTCCTTGCTTATGAGTTGATATAAATGTCAGCAGGCTGTGGAGAAGCCTTTAAAAACACTGAATTCCGCGGTTGGGGATGAATAGTCTAGCATCTTCCAGAGTGGCAAATGCACTTCCAAGCTATCTTTTAAAAATGGACCACTTTATGCTTGAATTCTATCTTTTTAAATGCCTCAGCTAGTTGACAGGCATATTTAGAAAGGAAGTTTTTCTTAAGAACTTTTTGTCAAAGCAGTTTCTAACAGTCAAAGGCAATTTCAGAGCCCGAGGAAATGCCTCTGCTTTCAAACAAACCCGTGCTCAAAGCAGAAACTGGAGATTATTTTCAGAGGACGTCGCTTTGGGGTTTCTTTTTCAATTTTTTTTTCTTTTTGGTGGAAGAGGAAGTTATTCCTCTCACAGGAAAAGGCAGTGATGCCAATCTCGTATTGATAGGGGTGGGTGTTCTCTTCCTGCTTCTATATGGTGAATGAAGCACAATACAGAGGAGTGAGTAGAGCCCACAGGAAACCCCGTAGGGTAAACATGGGGAGCCCTTTAATTATTCCGACAGACAGAAAATTATGCTTCCCTAGGCAAAGCCAGGGGAGAACCATCTGCAGAGGGAAGCTGAGGACTTTGGCTCCCAAACAGCTAAGCACTCTGTTGCTAACACATTCGTGATGTCATCACTGCAGAGGCTGTGGCAGGGCTGTGAGTTCTGGACCAGTCTGAGTAACAAACAAACAAACCAACAAAAGAAAACCAAACAGCAGGAATCCAGGGGGCCTGGAAAGAGAGTGACCTTTAGAGTAAGCAGCAGGAACAAGTCAGGAGTAAGGGCTGACTGACAAAGTGTTACAGCTTTAAATCTGCAAGAATGTAACAGGCCTCATGCCTACTTCCCCTGAGTTTATAAGAATTGCACATAGCTTGCATGGTACTGCCTGCTCCATCAGTGTTGGGGATTTTAGCCCTGCTAGGTGAGTGTGATTCCACAGCATTATTTTCAGAAGAGACGTGTGGCTCGTACCAGACAGCCCACTGTGGGCTCTGGTCCCTGCCCAGACTTACATTTTCCTGCCTGTAAGTGCAGCCCTGAATTCATCTGCGTACCCAGAACCCTCTGCAGAGCACAACCAACTGGACAATGTGTAAGATGCTCTCCCCCTTATACTTTTAGTACCGAGGAAGGAGCCTTGCATTATGTACCCTAAGCAAGGACTCCTCTACTGAGCTGTACTCTCTGCCCCAAGACAACCACCCCATGATCCTCTCCAATATGGTAACTAATAGTGCTGCTACTAAAAAAATAATATAAATCAATAAATAAATCACACCCACACACACACACACCCACACACACACCCACACACACTTCCCATGTATTCCTGCACTACTGCTGTTTAAACTTCCACAAGGGACATAAGAGTTCATTCTTAGGTTCAGTCAGACCTCCATAAATCTGGCCTTGGCCTTCATCTTTCTGTGCTCTAGGAATGGCCTCTCACCATGCAAGTCTGGCGAGAAGCGATTGTCCCTTATGGAGAGACATAAACTCACAGCTGTGCTTACCAGGAAGAGGGCTGTTGCCTTTGGCATTTTTACTTCTCTCTGGTATCAGTGTCAGGAGTGGTCAGACTAGGCTCCTGGTTTTCACCTTCTCAAAACTAGTTTATCAATCTTCCCCAATACTTGGTGCTGGGGACTCTCCTTAGCCAGGATAGGAACCTCAGGGACAGTTTGCGGAATATTAACTATGCTCCTTGCCCATCTTCTTGCCAAATTCTGCAGTATCTATCTGCTTTGGAAGCAGCCTTAGCTCCATTTTGGGCAGGAGAGACAATGATAAATAAAGTATTGGGATTTTAATTTTCCCCTTTAATCTCCATTTCTCCTTGATGGACTGGGAAAATGCCATGTTTCCAGCCTTTCTCTCCATCAGCACAGCACTTGGACATTTTGTGTAAAGCTAAGGTCATATGATGATGATTATATTCTCTACAAATGTCTGAGAAAATATTAGGAAACACCACCAGAATGTAACACACGGGTGTCAGAAAAATGCTGACAGACCCAATGTCTTATCTGAATGGTACCAAAGCTGGCAGGGAGGATGTACACTGGACACACAAGCATGATGGAGACCCTACTGCAAACGAGAAGAGCAGGACACCACACTGACGCAGAAACATGGATGCTGTTACAAA